TTGTATAATTTGGGTTTTGGGCTGTTCACACTAAAAAAACTTAATAAATGTATTTAATATGAATATGAGGAATTCTGTTGTGAGAATTTCTCATCAGACTAAGGGTAGATAACTGATAATGGGCTCAGTTCGTTGCTTTTACATGTTTGCTGAGTATGCTGCACTGAAAGGCTGCAAAGACCACTTATGTTCAGTCCCCACTAGACTAGTACTGATGCATCGAGATGTGACTAGATCTCAGCTGAGAACTGATCCTACCAGAATATCCTCTGTCTGAAAAAGAGCCCAGACTGCAGAATTATCTTCCACTGTGCAGCCGTGGGAGGCAGCTCAGGATCAGCTGAGTACTGGGTGCTGACTATTCTCAGGGTCTCCTCTGAAACTGAAGCAGCCAAGTGACCTGGTGTTTTCTCACAACTAGTATTGACCTTTTTCCCCTTCTCTGCGCTTAGGGAGATATAACTCTGATTATGCTTTATTTCTTTTTCCTTTTTATCTGTCTGTGCTTGGTAGATACCTTGCAGTTAGTCATCTCTCTACGATGGTACAAGTAAATAAAAACAATACAAGCACAAAATAATCAGTCAACACCAGTAATAGCTTTGAATAAGAATTCGAAACTAATTTTGTGGAGCTTATTGATTAGAGCTATAAAGAGTATGGCAAGTCAGTTGCAAATACATGTATTACTGATCTTTTTCAGTGTTGCCCTGTTGCAATAAGTGATATGAAATGTCCTTCAGCTACAGAACACTTAAGTAATTACCTTGTGCTGTAAAATTAACCTGGCCACAGTGCCTTAAAGACCTCTAGATATCCTAACTCATTTTCCTGCAGTTGGTAGCGTCATTGGAGCCAACTCAGTTTTGCAGCTCCCCTCCAGGTGTGTTGCCTTAACTGTCTGCAGGAATTGGCTGCTGCTTCCCTGTGAGTGACATAATCACTCGTGTCTCCCAGCACCACCACGGAGCAGCCACTCTGCTCATGGCTGTGCCACAGCAACGGGCACTTTGCTGTCCCTGCAGCTGGCAGGTGACCTGAACAGGTTTCAGCATTCAGCCAGACTATTACTGCAATACTTATTCTGAGGAACAGGAAACAAGTACCCATTTGGTATGGGTTAATATTAATACAGACACAAGTCTGATTGTGCTATGTGGGTGAATTAGTTTCCTTTGATAAGAATGCACAGTATGAGGAAATGCATATAACCATGGGAATTTTGTGTGTTTATTCCTATTAGTTTTGTAGGGTATGCTCAAATATGTCTTCAGTCAGATTGCCATTTCATTGCAGCTTAGATAGCCAGATGCAGAAAAAAATGCACCAGTTTAATGCCTTTGAACATAACAGAAATTAATGTTTTATTTCATACAGGTGCACTATCAACAATACAAATGTCTATATGGCTGGTACTTTTACTGCCTGACAGAGGTGTCTAAAAGGTTAACATTTCAAGCAAGCTCAACAGAACTTAGTTTAACTTGTCCTCTTCATTCACAAGTCTTTGATGCTCTCAGCAGCAGTTCTGTGTCCCCCCATAACCAGTTTGTCACCATTTACTATTAAGTACAGTAAACTTCAGTGTGTTGTAATCCAACATATAGTACAGCACCTGTGCATTGATTTTTGGTGTAAGAGAATGAGTTTCCAATCTCTTTGTTAATGAGTTTTTATGTACTGAGTTTGTTCAGTGCAGAATGATGTGAGTTTATGACACAGCCACAGCCACGGGCTCAAATTCCTTCTTTAACTTTACACAGTGGTAGATATAAGGTAAAGTTTTACTCATTTCAGTAAAGCTACCTGTGATTTAATAAGAGTAAGGAGAATTTGGCTCACTTTTTGTCCATCTTATCTGATTAGATCAGCAAGAGATCCAGTTGTGTAGGGTACAATGTAGCACTAGCCACAAAATCGACCATTGAAATAAGTTGAGTCCATTGTGTGCAGGGAGAAAATATGTATCTTTTTAAATAACTACCTGTCATCGTGAGAAATTATGTATTGTATTCTGCAGTGGTACTGGATCATGGCAGCAGGAGATGGAAGAGACCTGTTGGACCATTTCATCTCCGCATGGCCTGAGCTGGGGGACTGGCTACTGTTAATAGGTACCAGGTTTATCCCAGCACAGAGGAGATGTTGATGGTCATCCTCTGTCTCCTTTGGGGATTGCATCCCTTTTCGCTTACTGTCTGATGATGTGCTTTTAATAAGCTTTCCTTAAAGTTTGCAGTAAGCCTTTTGGAGTTGTGACCAGCCAGTTCTCCGTGAAAATTTTAATCCCCATATAAGGCACTTAGAGTATAAGCATATGTACAGTATAAACCAAATAACAGGGGTGAGGGCTGGACCCTGTGCATTGGCCGTGCCTGTCTCTGAGCCAAGCTCTCCCCTGGCCGGTGCTCCGGGCGGTGCCTCCCGGACCCGCAGGTTACGGGCTCCGCTCCCTGAGCCGGCTCCGGAGGCGGCCGGGCAGGTGAACAGCGCTTGGCGTTCAGAGACAGGTTAGAGCCGATGTCGGGCTTTCCCTCAGCGCTGGCGGGCGGGGGCCGGGGCTGGTGCCCGGCCCGGGGCTGCGGCAGGAACCGGGCACCCCCTCCCTCCTTCCCTCGGTCCCCCCGCGCCCGCAGGCACTCACCGGGCATGGGTGCGGTGCTCCGGGTCACGGCCCCGGTGCCATCCCCGCCGGGCCCGGGCGATGTGCGGCTGCCCCAGGGCCGGCAGCCCCTCCCCGGACCGCCCCCGCGGGGCGCACACGGGAGAGGCTGGGAACGGGAGCTAAAACGGAGACACTTCTGGTCCCGGTCAGAAGAAAAGCAAGGACACCTGTTCGGGAAAGGTTCCGTGCTGTCCCAGGCTCTCCGTGCCCGGCCAGCCCCGCAGCGCGGGAGGCGAGGGACGGACAGCACCGATCCTGGTGGGGAGGGAGGGCTGGAACCGGGCAGGGAAGTGACCGCTGTGCTGCGTAAATCTTATGTCAGCCCTAAAAAACGTACCTGTGCGGCCCTGGCTGTGCGAGAGGACTTCAAAAGCTACAATTATGCTCAGAAAAAAGAGTTTGATATTAGTATCTTGATTCTGAATATTCGGGTGGGCAAGAAAGTAGTATTAACTTCTTTCACGCTTTTAACAAAATACATACGCACAAAGGAACACAAGAAATCCCCTCAGACAATTGCAATTTCTATATTCTCTTCCTATTTGTATTTATAAACGTAATGATCTTTAATCGCTCATGTGTGTAATAAACACAACCAAACAGATCTTTACCAACAAAATTACTCATGCATGGTTCAGAAACAAACTATTCACTGTCACTGCTTCTTGTCTGCTAATGCTTATTTCACAGTATGACAAGAATCTGTACCTTAAATTTAACAACTGTTTGTATTACATATACTTGTTCTCCTCACAGCTGTTGCATACATTTGCATAGTTCTGTTTAATCTAAAAGCCAGGGAAATGCACAGGAATTAAACCAGCAGGATTCTGGTGAAATATCTTCTGTGTATGTGGAATCTTAGAATACTTCTTATTGCGTTTAAAATGTCCTGTTATAGATGTAGTGTGGTAAGCTTTTTTATTAATTTTTGAGTCTTCCAGAAGTAAGAAAGTATTTAGATAATTTTTACTCTAAGAAGAAAAAGCTTCATATATTTCGAGTTTACACTTGTAAGAAAGTTAACCATTAAATAAATGTTGGATAGTCGTTGCTTTTACTATTCTTATTTCTACATTGAATTAGTATTAACACCGAAGTAGAGATTTATTGCTGAGCAGTTTTACTCTTGTCAGGATAATGTCTATAAGCAAGTCTGAGACAACCAAAAGTTGTGAGTTGTGTGGCAAGACAACAACTGTCTGCTTTCTGTTACAGTGTTCTCACTTGAGCTGCTTCTGTGGCCATGTGAGGAGTGATAAAGTTGCTTTAAACATCTGATTGCTTTACAGAACGCTACTGAGGGGTTAAAATGATCTGTGCCAGACGCACTGTCTCCCATACCGGTTGTGGTGCTTGTGAGAAGGTGTGTGAAGCTGTAAGTCTGGGAAACAATAACCAGTAACCACCTGTGAGTTGAGCTCTTGTTTCAGTGAGATGGGACAGCATCAGCTGGGAGGAGCAGATCTCACCCTCTCCAAGTCCCTGTGGAAGGAGTTAATGGCAAAGTTGTTAAGCAGGGAGCTTTAATTTTGATTCTCTGCTGCATCACAAAGTTCCTGTTCTCTAGTCTTTCTGTGCTGAGTTCTTGCACCAGTTGGAAATCAGAATAAATGCAGGATGTGAAACAATTATACTCTCCTTTATCTCTGATTACTTGCCTCCTTCCTAGCCTAAATCTCTGGAACAGCTGAGAGCAAGCTTAGAGTTTAATATTTTGTGGACCTAGATTTTGTACTATAAATATTCTAAGTTTCTGGTGCGTATTTCATAACACATACTTTTTTTCAGTCTGCATATCCAGGTCTTGCATCTTACAGTAAAACCTTGAGCTTTAGAAGACCACTTAAAAATTCCAAATGCAAATACAAAATCATATTTTACTATACTTCAGAATAATCACTGGCAAGACATCCTAGGTTTTTTTGTTTTTTTTTTTTTTTTAGTATTAGCAACAAAAGTAAGGAGTCAGGCCCCGGATAGTAATACATATTTATGAAGTATGTCTTTCTTCATGTTCTATTTTTTGGTTTTTTTCAGGTGAGCCTGAAAATCTTCTCTGATGTTGTTCTTAAACCTTCTGAAGAATAGAAAGACAAGTTGGAAATAGATTATGGTTTCTAAAGGAATTGATTTAAACAGTCAGAGCACTGAAGCTAAAGAATATTCTGCCACAAAATAGTTTTCTAAGGAGTGTTAATTTAAAAACAGTGATGTTGCATTGCTCACGAGACACTTAAGTATCAAGTTTGCATCATTTATCATATGATATTCTTGTAATTCCCACTAGACTTGGTGAAATTCAACGTATGTATATTTAAAATTGGATATTTTTGAAAAAACTGAAGTATTTCCTTAGCACCTTTTATACCATTCTGGTTACAATCAAGTTGACTGCATGAAATTACTTAAAACTGTTTGTTAGAAAGATCCCGTGATAGAAGATAGAGAGGTATTTAAAGAAGATAAAGCTGTAGAATCACAAGTATCAGTAGATCCTTCTAATGGTAAGTAATTATAGCACAGTTTAGCTGACAGTTTTACTCTAAAGTCCAACCCCTACTGTAATTTTTATTAATAATCTTAAAGTTTCAGCGGATAGAAGGATTTTTTTAATTTTTCTTTTTTTAAATCCCATTTTGCAGCTCTAGAATGATCTTTAAATCCAGCCATTTCAAGTGAAATGTGTTCAAGTTGTTCTGCCTTCGCACCCACTTCCTTGTATTTGTGAATTTTGACTTTCACATCGGTGGTGCCTTCAGCTACAATGGCATCTGGAAAGAGGTAAACTTTTTTTTCCAGTTAAAATGTGAAACTGGTGAATCACTCAGGGACTTAATAGATTAGATCTACAGGGAGCACTGATGGGCACTCTGACTACAACAAACAGATTACATCGAGAAGTGTAATTTTAAATGGCAGAAATAATGAGCACTTAGAATTTCTATAGTGCCTTTCATTTCCAGCATCCTGATCTCTCCACCAGCATTAATTACTGGTAGTTAACCATCACAAAACCTTTTTGAAATAATAGTTATTGTTATCCTTATTTTATAGATTGTTTAATAACTGGAGTTCCTCCAGATCCACACTTGTGTAACTGAGATAAGAAGTTCTCCCACAGTCTACTGTTGGCCTTGGACTAACACCTAGTTCTTAGCTTTAGCAAGCTACGGATAATTGACTGTTTCAGAAAAGAATATGTGGAAAAAAAGACTTACTCTGTCACAAAATACCCTTTGGATTCTTTCTGGGAGCCATTTGCTAGTGTCCTTTCTAAAGAAAAGATGACAATGAGAGTGAGTGCATCCAGAAGGGAACGAATCTCCCAGAATTGTTTTCTCTGAGCTTTGCTGTTGATGGTAGTTGCCTTTAAGCAGGCTACAGTCCAGAACAGCTCTCCCAGTAAAATTACAGGTATGAAATGGGGATAAAGACAGGGCAACGTGGGCAACAGGAAAAAATCTTCAAATGCTGCCGTGTTTGGTGCTTCTAGAAGGGCCTGAGGAGAAAGGCAGCAAAAGAATAAAAGAGAGGAAAGCAAGCATTAACCCAGTTGAGGGGGTTTGATTCCTACTTTGGTGTTTCATCTTATCCCAGTAAAACTCCAGGCACTGCAGCTAACCTTGACATTGTTCAGGGAGAGGGAGGCAGAATACTCTCTGGACCTGCAAAAATTTTCCACCTGGGTGTATTTATCCCATCAGTTTCCTCATGGCACAGAACTGGTCAACAGAACCTTGGCCACATGAAAAATTGTTACAGCTGGCACAGAACGTGCTGTGCAATACAGGGGTTTTTCCCATGCTTTGATATTCATCTTTTGTCAGGTATTTGAAACCCCTGACAGACATGAATACTTTAGGGCCTTACACAACTTTTCAGCCCTGTTATAATACACCTACTGCTATGAAAGCATATGTAGGTAAGGTCTGCATACCAGCACTTCTACAGGATTCCGAATGTTTCTCTTTTTTTTACCTTTTCCTTTTTCTTCTAGTAAGCTTTAACTGTTTGCAAGCTATAGCACCACCTCCTGGCTTTGGTGTGAATGATGGAGCAAACCAAAAAGTTCCCTTAAGGGTGGCTTCTTAATGTATGAAACAAAATGGAGAAAATGTGAACTTTCATTCCTTTCAAATGACTTTTTCTTCCCGTGTTTTGCAGTAGGAATTTCAGAAATACCAAGTCTTCTTGGCTGCAGGGTTTTTTTTTTGCTAATATAATTTGCATAAGAAAGTTAGCAGCTGTTGCTGTTTTAAGAAAAAAAAAACTAAACCAGTACAAAATGTTCCTTTTAAAATTTTTTTATTCATAAACTCCAAGTTCACAGATTATAGGCACAAGTCCTGTAGAGACTTTTGCAGTGAAAACTACTTGTGAATCTCTGGCTTGTGTGGGTTTAAAGCTTTTTGGGGGTAAGATCTGGCTTTTTGTTCTGGTTTTGTACGCCACATAGCCTTGGTAATAGTAATCTAAACTTTGTAACTCTGGCAAGGCCTTGCAAGATTACCTATGTACACATGAAAAACGAGCTATTCACACAGCTGTAGTGATGAACAAAAGATGTTGCTCTAAGGCAAGACTAGTTTTTATTTTAGGCAGTATTTCCTAGGTCTCACTCAGTCTGAGTGAGGGATAATGAATTTAAACTAGACATAATGTAAATAAGGTATGTACTCTAATACAAAGGGGAAGGGATTGCTGAGCAGGTAGATGAATCCATAGGCAGTAATCCATCTTAAGATTTGCAGGAAAGTACAAAATTATATATATGGCATAGAAATTACACCACAGGTAATGGTGTAATTGGTACAGCTTCATGGGGTGCAAACTTTTAACTGAGAGAAAAATGTGATGTTTGTTTTTGGAATCAGATAGGGAAAACTGATGATTTGTTTGGTGTAACTTACAGGTGTGTTTCTGTAGGCACATGCACCTAAAACTGCCCAACGTAGAGCCACAACAGATTTATGGATGCCATCCCAAACATATATGTGTTAAAAAAAAAAAAAAGGTTGCTGAAAAACCCAGGCAAGACCATAGTGAGTCTCGAGGGTCAAAAAAAAAAAAAATTCAAAATCCTGAATGTAGGTAAAAAGAATAAACTTTTCCTGTAATTAAGTCCCTATTTCACGTGGGCAAGTGATGCCTTTCTCTTTGCTCAGTGCTGGGAGGCGGTGGGCAGGCCTCATCCCGGGGCTGTCTCTGCCGGCTTTCCTTGGAAAACCACTGCACAGGGCAGTGCTGAAACCTGACCCATCCCTCTCAGAGACAGCTTCTGGCTCTGCAGAATAGACAGTTCAGTGTGATCAAGAATCCACTAGGACACCATCCAATATATAAAGGAACTTAATAGAAAAAGGCACTCTGCCTGTTCTTATACTGCTTGTGCTACAAATAATAAGGAATGACTGATCCATTTACAGAATATTTATCTAGTAATGATAGTGTCTGGTATGCATCAAAAATACGTAATGACCTCTCCTAAATACACCAAATACAATGGGATTTGGCTTCAAATACTTTTTAATTACAACTGATATCAATCAGCTTTGGCCAGTGTATGAATCCTCAATACAAAGGGTTAGAAATTAAATCAGGTATAGTGCAGTTACGTGGGCAGCACTGCAGTAGCTCTGTGAACTATTGCAGTGGCAGCAAAAAAAAAACCAAAACAAACAAGCAAACAAACAAACCAAACCAAAACAAACCACACAACCCCACCCCAACCAAACACAAAAACACACCAAAAAAAATATGAAAACCACCACCCCAAGAATTCAAAAAAGGGTTCATTCTAACTCAAATCCTTTCATAAGGATTTGTCACAGGAAGGGACAAAATAAGCTGATGTGGGCATGTTTTGTGTGGTAATCCCTAGAGTTTTGACTGCTGCAGCAAGAATTCTTCACTCTGTTCCTGTTGTCAGCTCCTCACTCAAAATATATGTGAAAATGTTCTAGGAAATGCAAGCAATATAGGAAGGATGAAAGTACATCTTTCAAGCTAGGAAACATCAGTGTCATTCCCACAGATATGGTTGCCATGCTTTATTTAGAATTAAAAAAGTCAATGCTAGAAAGCAGTATTTTTTCTCCCTATGAGCTAAGTCAACAATCTCTGTGCCTTCCCCAGCCTGGGGTTCAAATGGTACATTCTGTGGTTGGAAATGCTAACCTGAAGGACACCTGCCTGCCACTGGCCAGCTTATTATATAACTTGGGTTGTATGGAATAGTACACTGGTTCTGAGAACTTTAGTTATGCCTTTTTTCCTGTTAGCAACATAATTCTTCCTCAAAGAGAATGAGCAAGATCTCTGACAATCCACTTGTTTATGGGGCAACTGGGGGTTGGAGGATGGGAGAGAGTTAAAGGAGATTTTCTTTAGATTCCTGAGACCTATGAGTCAGTATATCCATGAGCAAAGGTTACATAAACTAATAGATTAGAACAAGATTTAGTTGCATAAACACTGTTACTGCATTTCAATCTGTCACAGAGTCAGCCCTGCAGATTATTGCAGGCAGAGCTGGCCTGGCTTACAGTCCATCTCTCTGGACTGCCTCTGGCACTGGATGCATTTGAAATAGCATTGTTCTCTTGCTGTGGGGCTGCTCTGAAATCTGTGTGCACTACTTCATAGTTATATGTACTTATAGGTTTTAATTCTGCAAGCATTATTCAATGTACAGTGCATTGCTCACCAGGGATCATGCCTCTTATGAGACTGGTCTAATGTAGGCAGCCACAGGGACCAGATCCAAATTCCCTTAAAGTTCCCCCAGCTTTCCTGAAGCCTCTGTCCTCTGTCTCTCTTGCTCCCAACACACTCTCCCCAGCATGTCCTGGATGAAGTCAGGGAGACCAGTATAGGTGAGCTCCTGCTGCATTGGGCAGAAATGGGGATGGGTTTGCTGCCCAGGCCTATTGTCCAGGGAAAGGGAGGCTGGATTAGGAGTGTTGAGTGGACTTGAGTTGATGCACAGGCCATGAGGCCAACAGCTACATTATGATGACTGATGTGGTCTAAATTGTTTGGGAATGTTGCAGGTCATATGGGAAAACAAAGCCTTTCTTGGGGCTGCATCAGGGTCAGAAATGGTGCTCCCAGGCTGCAGTACTTTTCTCTTGTGCAGTGTTTTCCTTTGTGCTTTCCCCAGCTTCTCAGTGATACCATCTCCTCATTTTACATCAGAGAATTGAGGCATCAAAGTTCAAATCTTTATTTAGATACTTAGCTCCCATCAAGTAGAGCAAGCTGTTTCTACAGAGGCTTTGTTCATAGCCCTAAGCCCTGGGCACCAGTAAATTTATCAAACAGACTTCGATACTTTGTTGTCCAAAAACCAAGTAATTTTTCTGAATGACATCACTGGCAAAACTAAAGAGGTTTACATGAATGTAATTTTGAAAAGAGGTCAGATCCAAATTTTCAAGAGCGACTTGGTGGAGAAGTCATGTAGGACAGGATTATTGGTGACTTCTGGAAGTGTGGGTTTTGTAGTGGGGGTTTTTTTCTGGGAGCAGGCCCTGGGAGTCCTCCCTGTTTGTGTGATCCTGGCTTGCCTCCTTTCCAGTTGAGAGTACCAGAACAGATGGAAGACTAGCAATCAAATTCAGGACGAAGCTAAACGTGATTAATTTCTCAAAAAGGCCAAAGCCCTTATTGCATGAAAGGCAGCTTAAAGCTCCCCCAAAACTGGCTTGAAAGGTTGGGGGGGTTTGTGCAATTATTTATTGCTTTTTGCTGATGGATATAATCAATTGTAGAGATCAGAG